CCGGAAAGCCGCTATTTCTGGTTTTCGCAGTTTCATGGTGCAACACTTAACACTTTTCTTCCCGCAAATCCCGGTGTTAGTGCTCGGTCTAGCTGTTTTCGCACATCTTCCCCGATGTTGCATTACAAGGTTACAGATTTTGTGGCTTTTTACATTACATCATCATCTCACAACACAACCCCATCAGTCTAGCAGGCAGGTTTATGTTACTCTGTCTATAAAGGAACAGGCATGTTGTTCTGTGTAACGGGGTCTAGTCACCTGCTACTGCAGACCCCACATTATCCAGCTTTTTTTCCTAAACGTACAGCTGTAATGGGAGGGCTAACTTACTCCTGTAACTGCTCTTTTACAGATGTGGTGTACATATATTCCATTTTTAGAGGGGTCATGCTCTTGCAGCCAGTGTAGAGGTATTTAATAGTAATCCTGGAAGCAGTAGCTGTCCTCATTTCTCCAGTGTACCTTTTGTACCTGAATCTGTACTTGGACAGCTAGGCCATAGTGGTGGAGGCTTTTCTACTAGGCAGCAGTAGGCTTTGAACTGAATGAAAGCAGCCCCTTTCCCCTGTAGGTTAAGGGATTCACAGTGTCAAAGCAGTGAGATGGAGGTTTTGGTTGAGATGCTGCCATACCTTGTGGCAATCTTTGAAGTGAAGGTACAGTTGCTGCCATCTTGGCAATGTTGGGATTGTTAACCTGCCTACACTTCTTCATTTTCTCAAGGACGTTTTTCTCTCGGGCAGGATGGGGAGGGCTTCTTGTGGGGTCTGCAGACATCAAAATAAAGTGAACGCTTCTGCTCTTGGGGTTTCACATATGAGGTGCTGGATTGTTCTGGAAGAGCTGCAGGGTGTTACAAAGTTTTTCTTAGCAAGAAACAGAATTTTTATTTTCCACTGACATGCTAATAAAGCTCAACAAATACCACAGTTAAACAACAGCACCAACTTGGGGGTAAAAATGACATAAACTTGGAAGTCTTTAGGCTCAGGAAGGCCAGCACTTAGCTGGAAGGTAATTTGGGCAGTGAGAGTGCTGTATAGGTTTCACATATGGTGAAATATGTTCAGAAGGAATGGAAGGGGACGTGATCAGCCTGTCTGTCCCATGGCCTTCTTGAAACTCTCCTATAGCAACCTCTGTGTTTCTGCTTGCATTCGCTACCTACTGTTAAAACCCTGTTGTTAAAACCCTGTTGTTAACCTTGGTTAAACTCCGCCAGCCTTGCCTGTGAATTTCACGCTCTTAGTCATCTTGATTTGTCAGTGCTTCCAAAAGACCTTCAAACTTTTCATTGTTAGCCAAATTCCACAGATGCTCCACTTAGTGGTCATATCTGTGAAGTTCCAGAAACTGCAGGTGCTGATTCTGGTAGGCAAAAATATGAATACATAAATCATAACCCCTTAATAATCACTGTTCAGTTTCGGAGATTAATGCGGATTTTTTTTTTCTTCCTTTGTAGTTTTATCATGCTCCAGTGTTGCCTTGTACTTATTGGAAACCCCTGGACATGGTAAGGGGTTTTGCAACTTTCTTTCTATTCTCTGTACCATGCAAGTAGATCAAGTTCCCACACTGTGCTTTTGATTGAACTGTCTATTGCTTTGTCATGCGTGTTTGAGGTCTGTATAGGAAAGTTATGTAGGTGAGGGTTCCCAGTGCTACTGCGCTCTCTGGTTTTGGTGTGTTGTTTTAGCAGATATTAAATGCTAATCAGGAGTATTAGTTTGGACTGAAAAAAGAGAAGGGCTTAGAAGCACTGTAAGTGTGTGGGAGAAAGGCCTGGCAATCGTGTTTTTGCTAGAAGGCCTAACCTTGGAAGATGTTCTCTGTTCCCTATGCCAAGTGGTGGGGAAAAGCCTGAAACAGCTATTTATGAAGGGTGGAGGAAATTCTGCTAGAGGAACATTAATTACTATTGTGGTATCATGTGTGGCAGGGATAGTGACCAATTTGGAAACTGGAGATAAGCTTACTTTTCCAGGAGCATTACGATGCTGCAGACCAAGTTAGGTATGTCAAATTCTACTCGACCTTCTGAAAGTTTGCTGTGCAGTTGATGCCCTTCTGCCATAGCTGTGTTTACAGCAGATGTTATTGTTTAGACTTCAGTCTGGAGTAGTATTTAAGGCCTTCTTCTTTATCCCTTTCTGAACCAAGGCTTTGTCATGGGCTGTGGGAGAGACTAGAAAGATTTTGATCCAAAAAAAGTGTTTGTAATGCTGGAGCAGTACTGTGAAGTACTTTTCTGAGCTGACATACCTTATCATTATTTGACTTCCTTTCTTCTGCAAAAGAGAAGGCTTTTCCTTAATAAACACGAAAACGTAGTAAGAGAAATATTTCGGAGTGCTTTTAGAATCTGCCAAGGCTGCACCTGGGCAAATTGAGGGGGATAGATAAAACAGGAGGTGGGATGGATGGGTTCTGGTCATTGCATGCAACGGATAGAGAAATTGGACTCAAACATAGAAGGTGCGTATCCTTTGTCTTCCCTGTAGCCCTGTTTAACAGCCTTTGCTTTTATCCAGTACTGCATGACATTGCTTTTATTGCAGGGATCTGTAGTACTCTTTTTTGGTATGTACCTCCAATGGGCAGTAGTTTTAGTGAGGGTTTTCTGTACCTTACCTTGGCTTTGGTGTACAAGAAGATTCAGGCCAAGAAGTCCCTTGCAAGCTTGGCATATAGTATAGACTAGCAGAAAATGCAAGTGATCTGCCAATGTGTTCATCCCTGGGGCAGTCTGAGGGGCAAAGGGAGAAACTTCCTGCATGCCAGTGGCGGGGGGGGGAGGGGGGGGCTAGACACTAACTTCTGGCTGCCACCTGACACACAGGTAAATAGATTGGCGAGGTGTGGGAAGGCTTGGAGGGGACTGACAGGCCTACTGAGATGTGTTCACACACGCGTTGCCTGATTTGTCTGCTCAAGCAGAAATGGTACTTGACCAACCAAAGGGTAATTTTTCTCCTATTAGCACAACTTTTGGCGGGACTAGAAGGTGATGCCTAGACACTAACTTCTGGCTGCCACCTGACACACAGGTAAATAGATTGGCGAGGTGTGGGAAGGCTTGGAGGGGACTGACAGGCCTACTGAGATGTGTTCACACACGCGTTGCCTGATTTGTCTGCTCAAGCAGAAATGGTACTTGACCAACCAAAGGGTAATTTTTCTCCTATTAGCACAACTTTTTCAATTTAAAATGGATAAAATTTAACAAGTTTTGTTAGATATATTTCATTAGAACAACTGCATTGAACTTGGGATAATCGTGCCCCAATTTTGCAAGTTCCTGTGTGCAAATGGAGCTGTGCTGCGCTGTAAACTTTAGCTATGGTTGCTTGAGCGTAGCAGTCTTTATGTGGGGCACTGCTCTCAAAAGTAGCTTTTCCTACATTTTCCTGTGAATGGTAATACTTTTGCAGCATTTAAAAAAATTAGGAACCTGTGTTATTCTTCACTGCAGCAACAATTTATTTCTGTACAGTACAGCTGCAGCTGGTTGGAAAATTGAAACCTTAAAAAAATCAAAATTGTTTTCATGTAAAATGTTCAAAGCCGGTTGATATTTCTTTGGATAATTTGTAGTGATTTAAAATATTCTGGTTTTTTTAAATGCAATTATAAATAAAAATATTATGCTGTAGTTCTGTAAATGATTGGCTCCAAAGAGAAAACTGGAGGAGTTATTTCACTAATACTATAGTACTAAGGTATAATACTAAAGTTTACTGAAGTAAGGTAACTTTTCAAATTAAAGAACTACATTAATTAGATGCGTTCAAATCTAGATCTGAAAGTGTACCAAATGACCATTAAAATTTGACAGAAGAAAGGCATGATGCTGGGATACCTAATAACTTTCAGTATTCTGGATATGGAAAGAAGTTGTACGGGGAGGTTCATTATTAATATTGCCTGGCATTTGCTTTCATTTGAAGAATCAAGCGAAACAAAAAAAAGTTAATCTTTTATGTGCCGATTTTGATTCTAATATGTGAGTATTAAACTGACTGTGAAAGGGAAATTTTAAAGATAAAAATGGAGGAAGGGTTATGCTGGCAACAAATCTCCTTCTTGGCTGAACTTGAAAACATTTTCTTTTGGTATGTATAAATGTCTTTGAAAGTCTTTTAAACATAATTAGTTGGTCAGTTGTGAAACAAATGAGGTTTTAGGAACAAAGCAAAAATTGAGGCGCTCTGTAATTATCTGCTGGGATTGAGAGTCTTGCCTAGTCAGTGATCAATATCAAAACGGCAGGACAATCTCCAAGTTGGTGGAAAGTTAGCAGTAACATATTTGTTGGCTCAAAGGAAAGGGCAACTGAACAGCTTCTTTAGCATCCCACCTGGCAGTGGATGATAGCAGACCATAGAGATTAAGATTGCAGAATTTTCAGTGAAGGTGGCAGCTGCACGCGCCTATCGCTCTGCACACAGCAAACCTGCTGGAGATGCCTGCTAGAAACAAATGCTTGATCTTTCAAAAAACCAACTCTTCCTGCATGTTCAGAAAGTTGAGCAACAGCCTACAGACAAAGTAGTGAAAAATAAGCACTTGCTGGCACTGCAATAATGAAAGAACTTGTAACTTCACTGTAATCAGATGTATTTCCACAATTTGTCAAATGGAAAAAGTTTTAAATAGCTGGTAAAATGCATGTTATAATTGACTTAAGGCAGAGTTACTTTGTAACAATCAAACTTTGTTTAATCATGGTTTAGATTTTTTTCTTGAAAATAAATCAGTCAAATTAGCAAAACTTGGAAGTAATGCACGGTGATACAGACGGAGAAGTGGTTTGTTTATAAGATATTAGTGTGGTGTTAATGTATAATTTTTTTCCACAAATCTATTTCTGTGTCTATATTTACTACAGAGTTATCAGATTGACAACTTTTTTTGAGATCACTAACTAATATAAAATTAAGGCTGTTCATACATATTTGCAGGATTTGGGACACACACTGTTCTTTGGGAGGTGCTTCTAGTATTTTCTAGATAGGGAAGTATAGAACTTGCTTACAATGGGAAGCATTCTTTTGGTGTCACCTCATTACCTATAGTCTTATTCTTTTTCACTTAGAAAGTAATTAACAGACTTATAGTAAACTTTTATAGCGGGGCAAGGTAACTTCTATGTGCAGGAGTCACTGCAAATTGGCTGACAAGGTGGAGTTTGTTAACCTCTTGTGACTTGTTAGTGTGTTCATGATGTGCTTTGTAATGGGTGATCCTGTGAGGGGTTCACAGTAAGTCCAAAGGACACGTATTGGCTGTGGGCTGGGCTACGAGTTGCTCAAAAGAGGTCAAAAGGCATTAGTCTTGCGGGTCCAAAGTTCTGCTCCATATGAAGTGTCTTTTTAGCAGAATGGTCTGCTCAAAATGACCGTCCTGTTCTCTGGGGAAGGTTTTGCATGGTTGTGCTATAATACGCTATGGGACTTGGTGCTGAATATATATTAAAAAGTACAACAATATTTGGAAAAGGTCATGAGTAAAAATGAAACCGCATCCATGTATGCATGTATAAATGTTACTTACCTGATGACAAAAAACAGTTACATGCTGATTTGTATAATGTGCTTTAAATAATGTTATACTAGCTACTGTCCATTATGACTTTTCACTATTAACCATTCCATGTTTGCGGGGGCTGCATTCCTTAGATATGTATTGAGAGAATTAACAATTTACTGCATAAAGAGGCATGCCAAAAATAAATCTTAAGTTCAAATAAGCGTCTTCAAAAATTTCTGCTCAATCCTTAGAAAACCAGGATCGTTCGGTTGCTGTAACAAAGAAAATCAGTGGCTTAAAAGTTTGTTTTAAACTGTTTGTTTGTTTGTTTGTTTGTTTTTAAAGAAAAAAATCCACAAACACAAAGCATTTGTATATGGAACTTGAATATAGATCGTATTCACTCATTATCATTAGATATTGCTGCTGCATTACAGCTTCAGGCAATCCTATTACTGTGATCTGTTCATCAGCTTAGCAGCCTTGCTTTTGTGTGGCAGGCTGTCAAAGCTGTAGTTTAAATGTTTAACTCAATAGCTTTTTAATATCACCATTAAAATTGTCATCACACTGAAGAGAAAGCTGGGGAAGTTGCCTTCCCTTGGCAGGGAGAGATCATTTGCACTTTGCCAAATTGACTCTCACACAAATAAAGTTGCAGTAAAAGAGAATATCCCAAAAGCATCTATGAACACAAAATATTTTCAAACATCTTCCAAAAGAGACCTCTGTGACCTAATAATTGACCTATTAAATGACTCTTCCCACCCCATGCTTCTTCTGTGTCCTTCATTCTTACGTATTTTATAATATACAAGCTGAAAATTTTATTACTCTGTCCTGTCAGTATATCGTGGTTATATGGTTCAGCAATAAAACTTTTCCAGAAAGGTAGAAGTTTGCTGGAAGTTACTGTAGTTAGCTGGGGTATGAGATGACGGAATTTTAGCTTCTGCAGGCTGTATGTGTTCGAATTTGCTTACCGTTCCCTGTGTGCCCAGAGGCATGCTTTAGTTTGAAAGTGTAATAATTCTGATGTGCATTAGATTTCCTCATAAAGAATCAGCGCAGAGTACCTCAAGCTGTGGAAATGCATAGCCTCATTGGTGGTGTGTTAATTTTCCTATTTAGATATGAATTAATGGCAGGAATGAGATTTTCTTGGAGCAGCTGAAGATGTTTCTTTTTTCCTTTCCTTTTTAAATGCGTTCAAGCTGATACATTCGTAGGATAGGATAACAAAATGTTCAGCTTACATAATTAAAATATGCTTCATCAACAGCACAAGCAGATTTTATTTCTTGGTAACTTACCTCTTTCCTGCGTTCATAAGGTCAAAAGCATCATTGATTTTGTCCAATGGCAGAGTATGTGACACCAAGGCATCCAAATCAAATTTCTTTGCCATATAATCAGATACCAGCTTTGGTACGCTCTTCACGCTCTTCTAACCTGCAGCAAAGTCCGTAAAACCGAATTGAGTTAAGAGGGAACAAACTGAAGTTAATGAATAAATCAAGTTACAAGAAAGATCAGTTTAATCCAAGATTAGACACTTACTTTCTTATTTTATGTTTCAAGCCAGTGGTCACACTTTCTTTACTGATGCTTTTTCTGGCTTATCAGCCACATGCATATTTCACAAAAACTTAGTGTAAGTATGATTGATGACTGTTTCAAGGGTACAGGAAATTCATTGAACTATAACATCTATCAAGTGCTTAATTGCTGCTGAGCATTCTGTATCTGTTCAGGTTAAATATAGGCTCCACACTGAGCCCTAATACACTGATACAGTAAATACTAATACCCTGAGTATGCTGGATAATGTATAAAATGTACTCTAACAGTCTGGTTTTGATGGATACCTGCTGAAACGCAGTATTCTAGTTATTTGGTTGTTGTTGCTAAGAATTTTGGCTGAATAGAAGTGTTTCGTCATTAAACTTTAATTACTGTGTTGGTAGTCAAGTGTTACTCCACAAATTGCTGATTTGTAAGGAGTCAGTGAAGTTATACGAGTCTATTCATCTTTTATTTTAAATTTTACCTAGTGTAGTTCTTATTCAATAAGATGCAAGCCCAAATGACTTCAGTAATATCCTGTGAAGAGGATATTTAGTACATTAAATGCTGTTACACATCCACTTACACTCTGAAAAGAAATCTTTGTTTTCATGTTCAAGTTTATGATTCTTTTAATAAATTCCAAATCTGAATGAATTATCACATGTTTCTGTATCCAGTATATTGAGAAACTGGGAGGCAAATGGAAGAGTCTGATAATGATCTTGTTCTGATAATCACTTCCAGAAATTCCAAACCTTTACAAAGTATCCTAACTCTGCTGAGATACTGTCATGAAGGACAATTTGAAATATCCTTTTTTGCATCTATTTTTTTCTTTTATATCTTTCCAAATCTTTCTTTTTCTGTGTTTCCTTCTCCTGGATACTAAAGATTATGTAGAATTAGATTTGTTCCTGAAGCACGTATCATTTTGTTACTTTCATTTTCTAGTAGAAGTTTCACAGATTTTCGAGTCAGAAATTTAATTTCTGAGGTTGCTGGAGAAAAGAAAATCAGCTTTGGAACTCGTCACAGTAAGAACTTAGAATCATTAAAAGTCAGTGTCAGTTATACTGTGTCCGTTTACACACTGCCAACAGAATATTTAAATAAACAAAACCATATTTTGTAATGTTCTGAGTGGAATATGCAGTCCAATACCCAGAAGTCATTGAGTATTACATACTATCTTGGATCTCTTTACGTCTGCTTACGTAAAGAGATCCTTACTTAGTAAGAGATGCTTACTGCGTACGTCTGCTTTACGTCTGATTCTGAGTTTTGAATGCATGTGAACCACAAGATCAAGCTTATCCAGTTCATGAACATGTATGCCTACAGTTTGAAAAGTCTAACCTAAGGAATACAAGGATATATATTTGGAGAGCCTCAAAGATATTGGAAATTAGTTAAGGAAGTGCAGCTGTTATCAGCATGTCACTGGAAGTGAGCTAATTGTTCCTTGTGGTGCTTGGCTAGCCGCTAATGGAGTTAGACTCATAGGGAGAGACTCGGACTCTGCCTAAGCTGTGTAGGAAAACTGACCTCCAAAGAAGGTGGCTTTTATTTTCCGTCCCATTATCAACTGCATTGGAGAAAAGGGGATCGATTGCTCACCCACAGCCACTCCAACGATCACACATGTTCCCCATCCCACTGTAGTGCTTTCAAAGGCAGCTTTCTGAAAGACAAAACAAGCTCGGTGTTCGAAGTGTTCTGACATGTGAAATGAGATTGATACGACTTTGTTCAACTCCAAAAGTTTATGTAGACTGGGTGGGCGTGTGGAGTGCTGGGAACAAAATGCAAAGGTGAAAAGTATGTTCATTCGTCCCATGCTACCAGCTGCACAGGGGGGTGTGCAGCTTTGAGGTATGTGGCCAGCTTCTAATCTCCTTGGCTAGGCAACTTAGAAGAACTGGAGGTGATGCTGAATGGAAATGCTTTTGCATAGGTATATAGTAGCCTATGTATTGTCTTTCTGTTTCCCAAACAAAGATGCAGAGTACTTGTGGATTGCTATCAAATTAGAAGCAGTTTGATTGTGTTTATCTTGGAAGAGGGTACGTTAGGCTTACAGTAGGAGTGGTATTTTGACCGTGCTCCTGTGCAAAGATAGCCGCCAGGGGGCAAAGGAAGTCACAAGGGTTTGCTTAGATCTCTGAGCAGGGGCTGGGTCTTATTTCCTGTATTTCAAGTCTGAAAGAATCTCTTTTTCCCACTTAGCCTCAGTTCCATTTCACTGATGACTTCCAATGTATTAATGTCTATATATTGTATATGTCTTGGCCAGCGTACCTCATTTGGGAAGAGCCATTGGTTGTGTGCGGCATTCAGAGAAATAATTGTTGGAAAGAACTCTGAGATATGTAACCCGGAGGAAACTGGTTGCAGCAGAGATCTGGACAGTTTTACGTACCATGACATCAGGATTACCAATACACTCAATGGCAAAATCCACACCACCATTTGTCATTTCAGCTATAATCTCCTGAACGGGCTTTCTGATATCTTGAGGGTTAAGGCAGTCAGTTGCTCCCAGTTTTTTAGCTAGTGGAAATTTGTCTTTGTTGATGTCAATCCCGAAGATTTTAGAAGCTCCAGCAGCTTTACAGCCCATGACAGCCGAAAGGCCAACGCCTCCCAAGCCAAAGACAGCACAGGTGGAACCAGGCTCAACCTGCAGCAGGGAGAAAGATTATGAAATAGCTTTAGTGTTTGAAAGAAAAATGAATCTTTTATAAACCTCTCTGATCTCAGACTTGTGTCATGAAGCGCATGGGGCTGCATACAACTATATTTTTACTTAAAATTTCTATTGCAGAACAACAGATTGTGAAAGAGAAAGTCTACTTGGGTATTTTACATCAAGGCTTCTGCTTCATGCCTCAAATAAACAACATAGCTCAGATGTAACTCAGTGTGTTGACTAAGTTTTCATTCTGTTCATCAAAAATAAGAAAAGTTCAAAGCAGAGGAAACTTAAAGTTTGAAACTGTGAGATTTGTAAGCAATCAGTATACTTCTGTTTTAAAAAAGGGAACAGCACAAATGGTTTGTACAACAGTCATGTAGAAATGTGAAAAAAAACATGGGAATACATTGAGGGGAAAAAAAAAGTGATCTGCTTTTATTCCTTCACTTTTCATTCAGCCATATTGTACGTGTAAACTATATGTCAAATGTATCATATACTGCCTGAAAAATCTTTAAAGTTAGTTTTGCTTGCATTTGTTATGTGAATAGATCCACTGAACTCAGTGGAGTAATGTTAGGCGCAAGTTTCTAAAATGAGTTCAAAGAGTGTGGAAGCAACATTGCTCAGATGAACAGAAGCTTATCTGTAAGCTGCTTACCTGTGCGGTATTGATGGCAGCTCCATAGCCAGTGGAAAATCCACAGCCAATCAGACAGACTTTGTCCAGAGGAGCAGCAGCATCAATTTTGGCAAGAGAGCTTTCTGACACAACAGTGTACTCCGAGAAGGTGCTGGTCCCCATAAAGTGGTAAATTGGCTTCCCTTTGCAAGTGAATCTACTAGTTCCATCAGACATCACCTCTTGATCCGAAATAGGTGTTTTAATCTTGCTACAAGTACACAAAAAAAGAACAGGAATTTGCACAGCACCAGCCCTGACTGGTCCTTCTCCCTCTGCTCTACCTTGCTACACTCTTTGTTGCTAGTAGCAGTCTTCCCTTGATCAAATACCACTGCTTCTGTCAGATCATGAGCTGGTCTTTGCAGAATTAACTCACTGAAAGTTAATTATTTGTGGTTCCTACCTGATCTTCTCACAAAGGTTGGTCTTAGGGTTCAAACAGAACTTGCAGTGGCCACACTGAGGCATGTAGAGGGGAATAACCTTGTCACCTAAAAACAGTAATTGTATGAGGTTATATTTCTTTAAAGCTATTGTGATTGCTGATATTTTAACCCTGAAATCTCAGTCACAGACCTAATCCTGCAAGTTCTCTGTGCATAGAACTCCCACAGGACTGGGTCATATGGAGGTCTATTTTTTTATTGGTTCTTCAACCTTTTCTTAGCTAGAGGTCTTCACTAGTGTAACTCCAGAGTTTGACTGTCCAGTGCATGACAGTATGACCTGAATTAGCATAGCCTGAAAACCAACAAAGAAACTCAGAGAGAGGGTAAACAAGCAAGGCAGATAATTTTAGCTTCTGCATTCAGATGACTTTGAGCAGCGATGCAAAGAAACAGGAAGAAATATGCACTGCAGTGTTGTCACATGGAATATTGTGTGGGGTCAGAGAGGCAATGGAAAAGCAGGATTGTATGCTGTTATAACTGATCAAATGGAAGTGGCAAGGGTCCATATATTTTGCTCATAAATCACTTGTTGCCAAGAGGCATCAATGACAGAATTGCCTCTTCCAGTGCTGAGTGGAGAAGACAGTTTGGACCAGGGCTGTCAGAAAGAGTAGGGAAGGAAATAGTAAAGGCAGGTGGGCACGGCACGGGTGGGAATGCAGTGCGTTTCAGTGGAAGGCACTGTGGAGATGGCTCTTTTGTTCATTACAGACATTAATATTATTTTGTTCAAGCGTCAGTTTTGTCTTTGATGGCAGATTGATGTTCATGTTCTTCCTCCTCTTTCTTTTTACAATGACTGTAATCATGGGTGTCCAGTAGTATCCCTGTGAGTTGGAGGGACAGTGAAGCTTCATAAATTCTGAATATTGCAATCTTACCTCCGCTTTCCAAGTCAGAATTGGTGTCAAATCACATGTTTTTGGGGGGAATGTTCATTTTAGTCACCTTCTGTGAACAATTAATTGTTTCAGCAGTATGTTACGCAGTCTAAACAGGATAACTCTGACTTCAGCATGTTCCCATCAGCGTACAACTAGCCTTCCAGAGAGGGCTTACGTGTGGCGTGATGAAAATACCTCCATACCTGGTTTAAATTTAGAAACTCCTTGTCCAATGCTCTCCACTATTCCAGCTCCCTCATGGCCCAGGATCACTGGGAAAACACCCTCCTTAAAGCTAGGATTGATAGCATGTTCATCTGTGCGGCACACGCCAGTGGCAACAATCTGCAAGGAAATGACACTTACGCTGCATGTCTGTCATGAAGCATTGCAGCTGTGACTTGAGAAAAATTAGAGAGGTGGTCTTAGTGGACCGGTCACCATAACTGGATGAAAAAGCCAAGCTATTGCCTTCAGGATAAAGAGGACTAGCAAATCACAGGGGTTCTGCCTGATGAAATATCTTTCAATGCATTTTGCAGAAAATGCTTTTTTCCTGGAGTGTGCAATATGGAAAAATGTAACCCTCAAGTATTAAAATCCAGAAAGCTCTTATATTTCCTTTCTTCCAAAGCTAAACCTGATTATTATGGTATTTTGCCTGCATGCGTCCTTTGGTTTTAGTTAAGAAAAAGACATGGCAATCAGCTCTCCATGCATCTTTGCATCATGCCCTTGCAAGAGTGGGCTGGTGAATCTCATCAGTTTTGTTCAAATGTAAGAGCACTTAGACTTGAATTGCTACGACATTACTCTATTTTTACCCCGGTCAATCCATCTAGGTGACTTACCTTAACTCTAACTTCATGATCTTTTGGGGGAGACACTTCAATTTCCTCAACAGACAAAGGTTTCCCTGCTTCCCATGCGATGGCTGCTTTGCATTTAATAACCTGGGAGGAGGTGAACATGTTTTAGCTTTAGAGATTTTGCATTACTGCATTTATTTAAAGAGTCTGTTTCTCACCACGTCCACACTTTGCGGTTCAGGTGGCAAACTGTGTTCTTTCATTGTTACACCTGAAACACCCAAATTAGGGCCCATGCCGTGTTCAATCACTATGAAGTCAAGACATTCCTTACACTTGGGAATACTGTCTTTGAGAAGCAAGATGGAGAGTTCAATTCAGAAAGAATAAAAATTCGCGTTGTCTGTAGGAGACTATTACTCTTCCTACTTTTCTGTTCTTTCTAACTGCATGGAGCACAGCTACAATCGTATTGTCAGGGCAAGGGAAAAAATGCCAGTTCTCTGCACAGTATTTTCAGGTCCTGAGGGTTAGTTGGTATTAAAGCTCTTTTCCTGATTCTTTTCTGCTGTGCCCTAGATGCCTCCCCCTTGAGAGAAGGAAGGAATTGACTGTAAAGCAGAGGGTTCAAGCCAGCCACAGCTATTTTAGTGCTATTTTTCCTCCTCTGCCATAGCACGTATCTGCTTAGGGAAAGCTTTTACGTGTTGACATAAGTGATGACTTTGAGTAGACTGTAAGGTGTGGCCCTATAGTAATGTTTAGCACTACCTGAAACAAGACCCAAAATTTACTCCTCCCATGGTGCGTGAGCATGTGATGAGTTCCTAGGCAGACAGCTGTATTGTGAAACGTGGGCAGCTCTGAACACACAACACACAAAATATGTTTATAGGGGAAAAAGAGAAAACTACTCTTGACTCGTTTGGGTTTTCAACGCTGATGTGAGTTAAAAGAACGTTGAGTGCTTGGAACATCTGTTTTAGTAAAACAAAACAGGAATTGATATCATAGGCTTTCAGAAGGGAATCAGTAATAATACAAGCAATTGCATCTTTCATTTAGCCTTGTTTGACTTTTCAGTTCCAGCACAGCAAAAGCTCATGCTGCAGTTATGAATGAAAAGGAGATGAAGGATGGCGCCCACTAGTGTAGCTGAAGCAAAAACACAGAAGCCCAGGTAATGCTTTTGTGTAGAGTTACAGAGAAAATAATCTGCTCTTAAATATCACGAGAACATATTTTATGTTGATTCAAGACATTTGACTTACATAGGTAATTTGTACATGTGATACTAATAAATAGTATAAAGTTAGGGAGAAGTCATGCTATGAATGGGCCTTGGAAAGGGGCAGTCCAAATGTGTTGTCTGTAAGGACACAGCTGGTATCAATCAGGATCGTAAGACTGGAATCCATGTGGAGAGGAATGCATGTATATCCTTTCAACTCACCTTTCAGGCTCCTTCATTGAGCAAGCTCTAGGGGAGGGCAGGGCCTGCTCTAAAATCTGATTAATTTCCTGCGCAGAGGAACAAAGGGATTCATCAGTTTCTTTCTGCAGAGTTTGAGACAAAATTGATGCTCCCATTTTAACACCTGCATAATTACAGAAATTACATTTTCCCAGATAAAAATCTTTAAAGTTATTGGCTAAAGTTGTGGTCCAGTTGAATTTCTTTATGTGAACTCCTTTCTTTGAGGGACCTCAGACACGGCTGTTTTCAGAACAACACGAATGGGGTGCCTGTGTTCCTCGAAACATAGCTTGAAAGAGACGGTCAAAATGGAAATCTTGTATTAATGACGCTGTTCTTTTCTTTTAACCAAAGAAGCATCAGAGCCATTGACTCATGACTAAAGACATTTTAAAATGGCAGGTATTTTGAGTGATTGCAGGTGAACTTCTTTTTTTTTTTTTTTTTTTTTAAATCTTTCATGTGTGGAGGATTGGTGTGCACAGATGTTGAGTAATGGCTATGCAATGGGGAAAGTTTGGTAGCAGCTGTATTGATCCAAGGCTTGACAGTGAAGTTTCTGTGAACCTCAGGCAGAACCTTTCTACTCTGTATCTCTTTGAGACACTTTAGCTAGCTGTACAAGTCAAATGGAGACTGGGTGTAGAGTACTACGAGCTGAGAATGGGAACTTCTTATTCCAAGTATGCATTCGCTCTCCCTTGCATTCACCTGTTGCAAGGTACAGTACAGTGATGACTAACTGGATAAAGTACATTTAAAAGGCTACTTTAATGTGTCATGACAGAGATATGAGTATTAGACAGGTGAGAATGAGCAAAGTGCAGCAGAGAAACAAGAAACCTCTGTAATTAATCCACTGTAGCACTCTTGAGAATCAATAAGTTAGGATCTTGCTGCAGAAAGACAGATAATCATTTGCAGTTCCAAGGACTAGAAAGATTAAATGGCCACCCTATGCGGGGGATTTCTTATTTATATCTTCTGTATTTGTAAGTAAATGTGGCATCTTCTCAGGTGAGGAGTCCTGCATTGTTTGGATGGGTTTTTTTTTCCTTTTCACTCGGTTATGAATGATGATATTAATATTGTTTGCATGGAAACTTTGCTACTTACTTTAGTAAGATCTACATCGAGCCCTTTATTGACTAAAACTTTCATGGCCTAACCTTGCACTCAAAAGGTGTTCTGAATGCATTCTGTGCAGATGAAGTTTAAGCTGCTTTAAACAATAGAGAAGTGGCTTGTATGTGTCTTGTATTAGAAAAATACTCATATTGGCTTGTATGTGACTGTGCATGTAGTCAAACAAAAGTTTAGCACTTTGGAAAAAGAAAAAATACTTTGGTTGGACTATGTAATATTGCAATTGTAATTTTGATATTTTGGAAAGATTTTAAATGTGTGATTTACTGAAACGTCACAATAGCTTGGGAAAGAGGTAAGACTTACAGAAATATTTCACTGTATCCCTATGACCAACTTGTTCTGTGTAACCTTAGTCTAGGTCCTATTAGTGATTTGTAGATTTGATGCAAATTTGACATGAACTGGGGGCTTTTCATTCAGAATTCATCCTTTAAATCCTAAAATATACCTTATAAGAACAAGTATGCTATTCAAATATGCAGCCTTGCTGAAACAGTATTTTTGAGATGATAGCATTTCAAGTTACTATTTAGACCTGTTACAGGACACCCTTAGGGGAGTGATCCAACAGTGTGAACATGTTTTCTTAAGTCATTAATTGACAGAATAATTAACAATAGCTCGGCAACAGTCCTAATTTATATCACTTTTTAAGGACTTGGCTGGTTGAAGGAGAGTTCCTGTTTCTTTTGGAGCAGGCTTGGCCACTTGGCTGAGGAGTTCTGCTTGGCTTGTGAGGTAACTAGACCTGCAGGATGTTAGGAGTAGAAAATGGGACAGAATTAGAACTGCCAGGAATAGATAGGTTAGTCAGCTAGCACCTGCTGCTTCTATTTTTTTTTTCCCCTTTGTTGACACCATCCAGTATTTCATCATAACTTACTCTGTTGTATTTCAGTAGTAATCTCAATTTACATGTAAAATCTAGACCCAGCATACTCGACAGTGCTAGTGGAAAAAACTATTTTGCTAAAGAGTTTATATGAGTTATGAGTATTTTTCTAATCGAAGGTCTGATCCTACAGCCTTTGTGTCAAAGATATAAACGTCCTCCTATTTGCATGCACTGCTCCCTATGCTTTCCTACTTCTGTATGTCGCTACCTATTCTTCAGTGAGATTGCACTGAAAAACAGAATTTAACTTATTTTTTCTCAAGGAGGAGGAAATCCACAATCTTAAATATGCAGTGGAAGAAGCAAAACAAAAGTTCTACATTATTTTTTCCTCTGACCTTTCTTTTGTAAGTTTGTGCTCTAGGACATTGTCCTGTAAAACTGTGTACGTGTAAGTAAGTTTACTGTATTATCGTTCTGTCTTGGGTTGCATTAGTAAAGTTATTAAGATATGTTTATATCTTAACACACATCACACCTTGGAGTGCAAGCTCTTTGGGACAGGAGAATACTGCTCAGTTGTACTTATCTTCTGGTCCATGGGTTAGTCCTTTTAGGAATGCTGAAGGTGGGAAGGATTGTACGGTTACTGCCTCTGAGTCTCAGCCTGAAAATCTTCTTAGAGTAGGAAGGAGTGGTATTTTAGAAGGGTGCTTAGGGCCAGAGTGTAAGCCACTGGAGTACTTTGCCTTAGGCACCTCTCATCAATGCAGCAGCCTCTAAGGTCTGTTGAAAGCGGTGCATGGTCCCCCCTTCGGTTGCCCAACGTGTTTCTGGAATACTTAGGAATCTAGGCCCTTCTGTTTGACAGTGTGAACTCCACAGTTATCACTACACAGGCAGTAACACTTAGGTTGAAGTAACCTGAAATAAAGACTGAATGAGTAGGTCCAAGCTCTGTAACAAGCTGATATGAAAATTCGTACTAATATTCTTAGGAAACTGCAGAATTCCTGCCTGAAGCAAAGAAGAACAAATCAAGAGGTAGTAACAGCCAAGCCACTGCATATATTGGAGCAGAATATTTGACAGCAGCATGCCTTATTTTCCTAATATTTGCACTTTGCTCTGGTTTCGTTTTTTAACTGAATTGAACCAAATTCTTGCATTTTAGTTTCAGGAGCTGACCCTTTGCATAGCATTGTTTTGTCCATAGTTGTCAACCCTGAGCTACTGCTCTCAACTCAACCCTGTTTCTCCTCCCTGTCCCCACAGTCTCCTAGTATCCACAGAGCACAGGCCCTGCAGCATTCCCTCCTTTTCTGCCCTCATTGTGCTGCCTAAAAGAGGAGTGCTGAAAAGCCTCCTGAGCCATTTGTCTGTGCAGCACCAGCCATGTCACTGTCACAGAAAAGGCAGCATGCAGTAGCTGAACACTTTGTTTTGTGCCTATGTTGCACAGGAGCAGGAAACGCAGCAATAAGCAATGTTTGAGCACACTGTTGTCTTACTTTGCCCTCAGTGGTCATCTTCCTTCCCTCTCTGGTGCGGGTGTCAGGAAAGAGTCCGGTCCTGAAAGGTCCTACTCAGATCAGCAGTTGCAATAGCTTGATGTTTGACTCTTGTAGGAGCCAGCTACGCTGTTTTAAATACCGTCTAGTATTTCTGTCATTCCCCTCCCCTTGCTCCTCCAATCTCTGCATGCCCCTCCCTTCAATGTTCTCTCCTGTATACTCCCCACTCCTCCAAGCTTCAGTCTGTAAAACTTGCACAATCTCATGTTTGCATGGGATGTTAAATATTAAACACACTGGCCTCACAAGTAACGGATAAGCAGGACTCCCTCCGTATGAACAAGTAACATTATGTTTAGGAGTACAGAACTGGAAAGGACCACATGAATCATGATGTGCAGCCCCTTCCTGCTGGCACCAGCTACATCACAGAGCCACCCTTCCAAGAGATCAAGCTCCATCTTGAAAATAAAACACTGAAAAGTAACCTGAAATACATAGCTGTGATAGGTACTCCCCACAGAAATAATATTGAGCACATAGTGTTCACTTATCCGTGTTAAAATAAATGCAAGCTATTGTCATATGCTTTCCCAGGGCTTTTATTCTTTTTCAACACTTAATTTTGAGCTCATTCTTTGGACTTCTGAATTTGTAGCCTCCATAGGTGTCATCTTGGAAAGATGCAGGTGTTGTCCTCAGGATAAGGTCAGTTGCTTTCTTACAGCTACATGTGATGCATTAAAAAAAAACTATATCGGCTGCACCAGATCACTACAGACTTAACTGTGATGCAACATGGGCTTCAGTTTAATTTTTTTTTAGAAGGAGATTGATATGATTAATGATGTTCTTAATGTGGATACATCTAAGCAGTACAGACTTAACAGACAGAGAGCCTTCCCTGATCTTGATGATTTTGATGAGAGGCAGACTGAATCCTGTGCTCCAGAATTTATGAATGGGAAAGCCCTAAATTTCAGTTCTGAATTTTAAAACGTGACAGACTTACTGGTAACATTTCATTAATGATGACGGTATTGTGTGTTTGGACAGCATCTTTCACCTGAAATGCTGTAATTAATGCCTTTTACAATTTGTTTTTGATTTTGTAAAGGCCTTGTTTATTGTTAGAGTCATGTTTTTTTTCCTTAGCAACCTCCTCAAGGCAAGTCTGTCTCTCGTGTACACCCAGCTTCTAGTACTTAGATACAGTTTATAGTTCATACAGATAATAATTAATGTTAATAACGAGTTTGTTACAGACTAAAAGATAGAGAATGAGATTGGGTAGCACTAGGAATATTTTTGCAGCCTTAATGGCCTTTCCCTCTCAGTTACAGCAACATCTTTTTTTCTGGTATTGACAAATATGACCTGACTCATTGGGAGCCATTCAGGATGCTGCTGCAAAAATAATTTTCTAATCCTTTTACTTTGACTGAATCATCTCTTTCTCTCTTCATCACACTTGTTGATTTCTTTTTCTCAGTGCATTAAACATAAGTGATTTACCTGTACTTTCACGGCTCTGCACACTCCATTGGCTCTTGTTCAGTACCAAAAGGTAAACTCCTACTTATGGCTGGTCCTCCATTCCAGCTGCCTGTTAACTTCTCTAGCAGACCCCTCTCTGACTTACTGCCTCTTTCACAGCAGATCCTTGTCAATGTCTGCAGTCCTTGAAGTTCCTTTCTGAAACTTGCTTTTGCTCTGAGACCTGCAAAATCTCAACAACATATTGGTTGTCAAGATACTGTTGCTGCTACCTGCCATATTAAGCTGTTTTAAATACTGTCGCTTGGTCGCCCCTGCCTAACTTGACAAGCGTCTCTTGTTTTACACCATTAACTCTGTAGGGCAGGGCATGCATTTTGATTCCGTATTTAGAGTGCCCGGCGGGGTAGGCCCCTGCTCTTTGAGAAGGCCTGGCAGTTATGTGGTACTAATGAATAACATCGTCTTGGTAAAGAAATGCTTTATCAGAGTCAGTGGTAGAACCTGTGGAACTGGGGTGGTTCTGGCAGCTGTGGGAACCTGGGAACTGTCAGGTCAAAACTGGAATAAAGTTTACTGAGGTTAGGTACCTGTTCTTCCAACCTTTATTGTTGAATATTGTGGAATCCTATATTGTGGAATAAAGGGTTTTTTTTTTTTTTTGATATTGTTTTTAAATGCAAGTATCTAAAATCCACATGTATCCTGTTTTGGATCTGATCCTCAGTCAGTGATAGCTTGTGGCATTGCATTACTGATGACAACGTCTAGTTTAAACAACAGAAAAATGCAAAAGGAATGATGATATCTCAAGTGCATTTCTGGAAATTGCTACTGTAAATATTAGAATAAGGCTGTCACATGACTAGGCTCTAGTATGTTCTTGATACATTATTATTAATATTAAGTCCTTCCGAACAGAGAAAAGGCCATTTTTTGCCAGTGAGATGCCAGTTACAGATTTCTCCATTTGAACCGAGTTTCTCAGTGCAGGTTTCTCCTGAGAAATCCAGAGTGTGGCATTGTAACCCAGCTCTCTCTTCTGACAGTTTTTTTTAATAGTCTAGGGATTTATAAAAATCCCCATGATTTCTTTGAGAATTAGTGTTTGTGACAAACGTAGAAATGTATATAGGCCAACATAAAAGTGTTAGCACTGGTTCAGTAAAGTAAGCACAGATGTAACATAACGGAGAAATAAGTTTTGCATTTGAAGGTCAAAGCATTAGCATGTGCTTATCACCACGTGTACACAGATAAAGTACCTATATATAAGCCTCAGTGCTTAGATTCTAAAGGGGATAAACGTTTGTGCAAAGTAAGAAAAGGAAGTAAAGATGAAGAGATGTGAATAGCAAAATACTGGTTGGCAAGAGGTGCAGTGAATGGTATTCTGGCGATAACAAGGATAAGATGATAAAAATGATGTGCATTTCTATTGAAATAAATCTATTGCTTAAAGCAGATATTCTGATGTAAAGCAGAAGTCTTTCTCTATATTGTGCTAGCAAGCAAAGCTCAAAGGATGTGAGGAAAGCCAAAACAGAATTAAGTATGTTCCTGTAATTCTTACAAAAGTGAAAACAAAATAAAGACCCTGTGTGCATATTAAACCGTATAGAGCAGACGATCTCTCAGCAGGCTTATTTCAAATGTTGTTTTCAAGAGATAACCAGCCTTTATTGCAATTTTTAAATTATGTTCAAAGCAAATTAGTGTTTTGTTTGTTCTGGAATATGGCTCCCATCTCAGTTCGTGCAAACCAAAATAAGACCCCAACAGAATGACTAGTTCAGGTTCATATTATCAGTTTAGTATGAACATAAAGCTGTTAGCAATGCTGTTACTGACACCTTGTTGAAATGCTGACCCTTTTCACTGAGAGAAAGGACCGTTACCTCCAACTAATATGAAGATGGAGATAACTGAATACCTGTAAGGTACATATCAAAACACAAAATTGAGAATTCTGAAAAAAAAATTGTTAGCCAAGGTCCTAATCCTGTAAATACTTAGGAGTAACTATATATGGGAAATAGTTTCATTGTACTTGCAAGAATCAAATGCATGTAAATTCCCACTGAAATTGGTGACTATTTATACATTTCATGCGATTAATGTAGGAAGATAAAAGCATCCTTCCTTTGCCCCAATGGTACCATGTTTTATCCATGCAGCAAGAAAATATTTTACCATCATATGATACTGTTTTCCTTAAAGAAACTTTTTTTCCAGCATATGGCAAGAATTGCTCAGAATCAGTGCTAATCTGACCAGGAATTCAGTTCACACAGTGTCATCCTGTTCTTTAAACTGTATGATCCAGGCTCTGAGTAAAATTCATTTCTGAATGACTGTAACAATCGGTAACAAAAATCCAAACCAAGCAGTCTTAAGTCTTGGGGCAGGAAATCCAGTTCAACTATAAACATTGCCAAGTTTCAACTCTTATAAATTGAGTTGTTTGCTGTAGACCCAAATCCAGATCATTAGCTTAGACATTAGTCACATAACAAATGCATTTTTGAATACAAATTCTGGTGAGAATAACTTGATACAGCTAAGTGAGTTAGTAAATGATTATTCGTAATGCTTTTCTTTTTAATTCTATTCCTTCTGTTTCATACAAGCGTTGCTCATATGACAAGTTGCCTGGGCTCTCCCAGCTAGAGCAACCATCCGCATTAAATGTGTACATGCAAAGGGTGTGTTCACAAATATAAAACTTAGGTGGTTGTTGATTGAAAAATCGCTTCTGCTGATTATCTAGGTGGTTGTTAGGCTTCTCTTTATTTTAGGCTTTGTAGAACCTTAATCACGCAGCAAATACAGAAGGAAGGAAAGGAAATAGGGAGAAGTAAGTATGTCCTTAGTATATTCCCTTTCTGAACTCACAAGAATCAGAGAAGACCTTCGCTGGGACACATGTACCACAGGGATGTGTCATCCTGTGGACCTCTTTAGGCAGAATCAGAGCACTGAAGCAGTGCCTGGAACAGCAGCAGATCTCTGGATGAGTGTTGTGCACGAAATGATGGCTTTCCAGGGGCTGGATGGATTTCTTGTGTGAAATGTTTTATATGAGTGCAAGATGCAATTGCAATAAGTCTGAGTCTAATCCTTTGCTACTGTAGAAGCTGTATCATGTAGCCATTGTCATAAACCTGTCAAATTTTGTTTTAAAAATAGGCTTTTTTTTTATAGCCATTAAGATCACTTACAATACTTTGATCTGATTAGTCTTCTTTTAATTTCTAGGCTACTTTTCCTCACTTGTTCCTATGCAAACAGTGCCAGTTACCTCAGAATGTTCTTGCCTTGTCTACTGTATATACCCTTAATATATTTATGGGAAGCAGCCATATGCTTTCACCCTCCACTTTGTTAGGCTACAGGAGCCATACATTTACAGTGTATTTTATCCCTCAGTCTTTTAGTGGCCTCGCTTTGCATCTCTTCCAGTTTGAATTCATCATCCTTGAACATAGTTATCCAGAACTTCTTTATTCATTATTCAACCTGTTAGCTATGTCTCAGATAACTGAAAACTGAAGCTAACAGGTCTGTGCAAGAAACAAATTACTGAAAAATGCATGTTGTTTTGTTGTTCTGCGTAATGATTAACCTAGCGGAATGAGCTGCTTTGTGTGCTTTCTGTATGCTGTCTACTTATCATATAAGCTGTAATTGGTTACTTTCTCCATTATACACCTTCATACTTTACTGAAAACATATTCAAAGGTGTTATGGTACCAATGGCTGTTGGGCACAGTCTGATCTCACACCAGACAGATAATGGCAGAACACTAGTGCCTTCATTGAAATTACTCCCAGCTTACAGTACTATGTCTAAGACTAGAATCAGGCACTATAGGAAAAGAATAAAGCTTCAGTAAAGCATTGTGGTTCATACTACTTCCAATGTAATTGAAAAATGTATTTGCAATGTGAGCTTCTATTTCTTTCCCTTGATTTCACTTCTAATACTAGATGCCAAGATGTCTAAGTAAAAACTAATGTGAAACTGATATTTGTTAGATTTGAAAAGATTTGCTATCCTTAATCTCATTAGATTTTCTGCTGGGTTAGTACAATGCTATAATTTTTGTGGCTTTTTAGCATAAAAGAGAGAAAGCGTGAAGTAAAACACAGGAATGAGTGTGTCTGTTAAAGATCAGTTAGCAGCTGGATTGCACATTGATATGCTACTGCGAAGCCTGCAGTATGGACATCCAGTTCATCTTTCTGCCAGTCCCTCTCCCTTTCCCAGGCCTGCTATGTAAAGAGTCATGTTGTCTGCATCTGCAAGGCTGCACACTGAGAGTAAGCTTCTACATTCCTAATTCAGCCTTGAGGACCTTCCCGATTCCACCAGCTCTACCCTAGAAGGAGATGGTAGACTAGAAGAGGCCTATCCGCTAGGAAGGTCTCCTCCTTCCGTGTGGCTGAAAGGACATTTGCGTATACCTAAAGAATAAGATAATTTTCTAGAAGACTACCAATAATGACATAGAAAACCTGCTTGAATCAGGAACCATTTAGAAGGCTTAAGTCACTGAACAAAATAATAGATACATTAATACTCTTTGTGGTTTTTTTTTTTCCCCCGAAAAATCAAAACACCTCTGTCACAGATAGAATGCAAACAGACTAGTCCTGGTCAGGAAGCGTTCAAGGGTCAGGAGGACATTGCTCTGTAGATTCATGCTTAGGACACCCAGCTCTACAGATTTTTATCAAAAGGCAAAGGCAGTTGTTAATGGAACAGGGTTGCTTCTTTTTTTGGTTTCAGTGTAACTAGTGTATTTCCACTGAGAACCACAAAGAAGTTGTTGAAGACAAATAAGTTGTATGCTCCATATAAAATAGGGAAGGAGGCAACTGAGGTAAGGAACAGGAGAGTTAGATTTAACCCTGAGAGACTGTGCATTGAAAAGGTATAGGAAAAAATATTGGAAGAAAGTTTATTAAGCAGGTGCAATTGATCCTATTCACTGAGTGAAGGAGACTGGCTGAGGAAAGAAAGTGTTTTAGAACAGAGACTAAGAATCTTACAGCTACTTTGGAGTCCTTGCTAGCATATCCTTTCATTTGTTTTTCTGCGCAGAGCAAAGTCTGTTGCCAGACCGGCTGTCATGCTGTTAGCTCCTGTGGAATTGCACAGCTGCAATGTCAGGAGGAATTTTGCTTTTTGCTTCCCAAAACTCTAGCTCTTGTACTTCTAGCCCCAGCATTTTCACATGATGCGACATAACTGCACTTTATAATTTCTCTTTCCAGTTCCATTTTATAAATGTATCTGTGGCCCTTACCTGGAACAAAGCCTGGTCAGGAGTAAAGCCACCAGTGTGAGAGCAGATAGCAAGAGACCCTAAAAAGGAGAGAGAAGAACCAAAGAAGGAAAGATTAGGAAGAAATAGAAGGAAGTGATGCGATGAGAAAAACCTCATCTCTAGAGGAAGAAGGCTGGAACAAGAGATGTAGCAAAACGCGTGTTGTTCCTGAGAGAGAGACCAAAGAGCAGCAGCAGCAGTGCACTGAGTTTCCCTACTCTGTTTTGGTCTAGGTTGCAGCAGTAACACAGCTGAGATTGTGGTGGAGGTGAAGGTGCACGTGCGTAAGGGTGTAAGGCAGAAGAAGGTCTAACAAAGTAGCAACAGAGGGAGCAAAGGAAGTTGCTCACTGCTGAGATAACTGGTGCAATGGAAGGTCTTGTGGTATGAGGAAGAGCTCCTCCTGCCCCATGGGGCCTCTGTCATTTCATGGCAGTCTGTAGGATGAGTTGGAAAGAAACCTTTTACTTCTAGAAGAGTTTTTTTAGGAGAGGTGCTGTTTCAGGTTTCAGCCAGGCCTAGGAATGCTGGCAGTGGCACCACCATCAGCCGGTTCTTCGTTCTCTTCTCCTTGCCCCCCACAAAATGAGAAACGTGCCTGTACCAGGAGGATGTCTGCTGAGCTGTTAGGTCCGCTCTGCCTTCCTTGGCTTTGTCTTTCAAAACAGTAGGACACTGCGAATACTGAAACATGGGAAGGAAGTGAGTAGTGGCAAGTGCTAGCATTGAAAGTGTTCATGAGTAGATACAAGGACAGGGCGGGTGCGTTTGAGGACTAAGCACCTTGTTTCTCATCCAGCCTGTTCTTAACTCTGGTGAATGAGACACGCAGCAAACGGGCTGTCTTCAAGAATCTGCTGAAGGGAATCACTCAGTAGCTAAGGTACCTTGCCGTTCCCTAAGCTTTTTGTCCTGCAGTCGTAAGAGACATCCTTCTTTTGTCATGCTTGTCTGCTTTTGTCCCCAGGGACGCCCCTTACTCCTTATTCTCTTTCACTTGTGCTTTCAAACACTGAAATAAGATCTTGTGTCTGCATTGGCTTCAGTCCAGTGCTGGGGGCTGCAGGGTCTCTGATGAGTTGAACAATAAATAGGAGAATTCCTTTCCTGAGTATTGGCTGTTCCATCTCAGTTGTGGCAGATCCTCCCAATACCCTACCATGGGTCTGGGCCCTGCTTTCTCTATGCGCTCTGGTGCTTTTTGATAGAGCAGTATTTCATGCTGCTGCCTCACTTGGGTGGCCAGAGTATTTGGACTGTTTTGAATTTTAGATGGAGGTGGCATTTGCTCTCCCTAACTCCAGTGGGTCAAAATCTCACCTTTTTCCTGCACGTAACAATTCAAATCCTTTGTTCACTTCAGCAATCGGCAGTGTGTGTGTGATCAGCAAGTCCGAGTTAAATTTCTTTTCCAAATAGCTAGAAACTAATTTGGGGATAGAATCCCTCATCTTCCAACCTAGAAATGGGAAAAAGTACACACAGTGAATAATCAAAGAAATGCTGTACTGGTGAAGTAGCGTAAAGAGTTGTTGGCTGGTGCTGAAGTCTAACGACAGTCCTTGGAGATGAATATAGAGGCCAGTCAGTGGCATGGCATCTCTACCAGGCTATGGTCACAGGGGAAAGATGTGTCAGACTGTCCGTGAAAACCAAGAGAGAAAACCAAAAGGTCTCAGCCCGAGATGTCTGAATGGGTGGTAATTAATAGGGTGAGGTTTAGATAGGTAGAGGCGTATAGAGCTCCTCTTAGAGCTGGGGGTATAGCTGAAAAGAGTTGGAAGATCCTTGAGGCACACCAGCCCCTCTTCTGGCATGCAAGAGATGCAGCAGGTTGGAAGAGAAATGCAGGTTGAGAACAATTGCCTGGAGTTGAGGGGAGTGCGTTTGAGGGTGGCCACCCTTGGAAGACAAGGTGGTGGGTATGTGTGAAATGGAGAGGATGGGGGGAGCGAGAGGACTGGCAGGAGAGGTGAGGAGAATCTTGTAGTGGAAGAAGAGGCCCAGGTAGTTTACAGCCCGTGCAACAGGAAGGTATTAGTGGGGCAGAAGGACGTTGCTTTTGTGGGGCGTTTCTGATCTTCCTACCCATTCTGTGGTTAGTTGCCAGGCTGGCATTTGGGAGGCATTTTGTGGGCTTGCCACGAGTGATCGGTAACAGAGCCCTTGTCTTGTGAGAAATTTACCCCTGCTTGGCAGGAAGGTGGGCTTGTCCTTGTTTTAGTCTACAGTTAGGCCAGACAGTGGTATGTATATAACTGTATCAGTCAGAGACACTATTAGCAGGTTTATGCTTACATATTCTGGAAGCACGGTGCTCGTTTTTTAGTTGCAGTGTCCAACTGTTTTTTTTCTTTAAAAACCTCTCACACACCTCCTGGGACATGGCCAAGCTTGAAACATGCTTGATGACTAGGCGGTTGATGAATAGCAACTATCAGAAAAAGTTTCTTCTGGTCTGCAGCTGAGTACATTGCTCGCATGGGAGAATGAATGGTCAAGGGGAGGTTTTTCGTATTCATTGAAGGGTAACTGTTCCACAGCTGTTTGGGAACTACAGTGAAAGGAAAAGTTTGCGAAGATTGAAATAGATATCATCTTTTCTTTAGTGTCATACCTCCGAGCAGAGTCCCTCTCCACGTACGCCCAGAGAGCAGAAGCAGAGGGTCAAAGGAAACCATCGATCCAGAAGCCAGTTCACCAGCCATCACGCAGACACCCGTGTTCATATTGCAGGAGGCTAGGGCAGCAGTCTGATGGGACAGGTAGGTGAATTAGAAGATACACTGATTAGTCTGTCAAAAGTACATTCCATCTCTGCAGTTCTCTCTCCCTTGCTGGTAATTTAAAAGCACTTACACCCTTCTGTAAGTGGCACGGAAAGCTCCGTCCCTGTTTGAAGCCTCATACATAATTTTCTCCCCAAGCCAAGTAAACTGCCTTCCTGTGTAAAGACATGCGCAGAAATGCAGGCACAAGGCAAGAATCGACCTGCTGTGGAGAAATGTGCCCCAACAGGGGACTGTGAATGAGCTGGGAGGGAGGGCATGTGTGAAAAGGTCACGTACCAGGGTATCTGCGAGCCCGATGGCCTCAAAGGAGTAATCCACGCCGAGGCCAGTCATCTCCATCAACACTTCATGAATGGGCTTCGTGAAGTCTTTAGGGTTGACGCAGTCGGTGGCTCCCAGCTCTTTGGCCTTGGCAAACTTGTCCTTGTTGATGTCAACGCCAATGATGCGGGAAGCTCCAGCCGCCTTGCAGCCCATGACAACCGAGAGGCCAACTCCTCCGAGGCCAAAGACGGCACAGGTAGAGCCTGGTTTAACCTGCACAACATGGGGCCCTGTTAGCTTCCCGCTGGAATCCCCAGGGCTCCAGCATGAGGAGGAGGTTTCTGTCGCACAAGCGTGCTAAGGTGGCTGCGGTGATGCCGGTCCTAGAAACCCCTGAATACCAACCTTGGCAGTATTGATGGCAGCCCCATACCCTGTGGGAAAACCACAGGCCAACAGGCAGACTTTGTCCAGAGGTGCAGCAGCCTCTATTTTGGCAACTGCATACTCCGGCATGACGGTGTATTCTGCAAAGGTGCTGATCCATAGGAAATGGTGAATCCGTTTCCCTTTGCAAGTAAACCTGCTGGTCTTGTCCGGCATCAGATTCTGTGATTCGTAGAGGCTGTTAAGAGACACGTGCATCGTTCATTCAAGTAAAGCACGCTCAGGACTGTCAGATAGCCGACCGCAGTGGGATAAGGGGGACAGTGAACCAAACTCACTGAGACTTCATGCAGTAGTTGGAGTCAGGGTTCAAACAGAAGCAGCATTGCCCACATTGAGGAAGGCAGAGAGGGATGACCTTGTCTCCTGGAAGAGAGCACACGCTGTGTTATGCGCCTCTAACTCGGCAGGCCCTGAGGGTGCTGTGGTGCCTGTTGGAGTGCATCGGCTGAGCTTTCAGGTGGCAGCCTCCTGCAGAGAACTCTTTGCTTTCTCTGTCAGTAGGAAATGTTTGGAGCCGCACTCGTGTGCTTGGAGAATGCATAGGAAAGTTTTTGTGGTATTAGAGAAAAACTATCCTAGGGTACAATCGGACTCTGAAACACAGATGCTGACTGCAGGCAGGGCTTTCTGAGCTCTGGGCTGCTCTGTCCGTTCAGGGTGCTGAATCCTGTGTGTGTGCACGCGTTTGCTTTTACCTGGTTTCACAGAGGTCACTCCTTCTCCGATGCTCTCCACAATCCCAGCTCCTTCATGGCCTGGGATAACTGGGAATTCTGCATTAGGAAAGTAACCTCCTAAAACATGGTCATCTGTGCAGCAGATCCCAGTGGCCACAATCTGTTTGGAGATGAAGGTGTAGATTAGCCCAAGACACACGCAGGCCTCTGTTTAACCCTGTTCCTGGGAGTAATTTTCATTGGTGCATTTAGACACCCAAAGAGGTCTGTGTTGCTGCCTGTGCCTAGACCAGCCTTTCCCTTTTGCTCACATTGAATGCTTCCCGTTGTACTCTGCACTGTGTTGGAGGGGACGGAAAATTAACTTGTGGAGCATCTCTGGTTCTTAGAGTTCTTAAAACCAAAAACCCCAAGTATATAAAATAACATGGTATAGATTTCAGGTGAGAGCAAAGAGTTTTGCTGTCCACCAGTGTGCCACATAATTTGATAATGCAGCGAAGAATGTCCTTTTCTGTTGATTTGAATAGTGGTCAGTGCTAGGAACTGCAGGAGATGTGTAAGAAAGGTAGTTCAAGGAGTTGAAGTGTCCGCTGAAAAAGCAATAAGGGGTTAAATGACATCCCTAAATAGACTGGCTATGTCATTCAGGTATCTGCATAGGCAAGTAGCTCTTCTGCATTTATTACTGCACGGCTTGCCAGTAGCACAGTGGCGTGTTAGTCCACCTTCTCAGTGCACTGCTGGAACGCGGTTCTGTGCATTTAGCTGCCTAAGATGTGTCTGCTCATTTCAACAGCTATCAGGTAGGGTGAACTGAGAAGATTTTTTTTTCTTTTCTTTTCTTTTCTTTTCTTTTTTAATGTCAAGTAGAGCTTCGACTGCCCAAGTTCAGTTCCCAAGCGCCGATCTTTTCCTACCAAGACGCATGAAACGGTGTATCCCACGCGTATGCACAAGAACAGTAATTCCCACGAGGGAGAAGGAGCATAGTGAAACGTGCAGGTTTTACCTTGACGCGAACTTCTTGCGCCTTTGGAGGTGCAACCTCCACCTCCTCAACAGAGAGTGGTTTGCCCGCTGCCCAGGCAACAGCAGCTCTGCATCTGATAACCTGGAAGCAACAGAGGGGATTACGCTGTGTGGGAACGTTTGCCTTGAAGTCTAAGCAGGGAAGGGCTTAAGGTCTGAGGAAATGCCGTTTGTCCTTTGCCGGAAGAAGAGTGTGAGCTACAGTATTAGGAAAGGACTGGACTTGTAATGGCTTCTGGGGATTTTTCATAGTGTCATCATATGCTAACAGGCACATTGTCTAGCAGCTTATGAGCTTTCCCCATTATTCATGCAACCCTTACAGCGTTACCTGGTGAAATCACCTTTTGCGGGTGTTTGCATGAACAGTTCCCTGCTGTGCTGAGCACAGAAAGATTAGCATTTCCTTGTGAAATGAGAAGACCCAGCCAAACGAGGCTGGCGAAACAACCAGGAGGTGCTGTGAGCGGTGGGTGTCACTCACTGGAGACTCGTGTGCAGGCTCCTTCCACAGCCTGGCGCAGTGCACGCCTCTGGCAGGGCCTGGCTGGAGGGCAGGGTGGTGGCTGCTGCAGGGAGGGCAGCCCCCAGAGCACTCAGCAGCACACCCCTCTCCTCTAGGTGGGTGGGTCAGTACCGTGGGGTGGCACAAGGCCCTGCTGGGTACACTGACCTGTGCCAGCTCTGAATGAGTAAGTTGGATACCAAAACGAGTCAGTTTGGTGTGATTCCTCCTGCTGAACAGCTAACGCAGGCACACTGCTTTGGGGGCCTGGCCTGGCACCTGTAGCATAATTCCAGGGCTCAGCTGTTTCTCCTTTGATCTGTTGCTGCTGTTGTGAGTGGAGGTGGGGAAAGGTGTAAGCTCCGTGTCCCTGTGTGTTTCCTGGGTCCTGGGAGATTTGACCGGTTAATGCCTGTCAATTGCTCCATGAAGCTCTGACGCTGACCTGGCAGTCTTTGGAGTCAATGGCAGTTGGTGTGTCAGCTGTAGTCATGAGTGGATTTAGCTGTGAAACTGTGATGTGAACCCTTAGTCTGAGGATTAGGCTAGTGCTTTCCTTAGGAGTCTGAATTTGAAAATATCTGGCAACGGCATATGTGTGGGACTGGACCGTGGGAGCAATCGCCAGGGCAAACCCCTAAGGAAGCTAGATTCAGCAGTGATTCTGCGTAGGCCTCCTGTCTTCCAGGTGCGTGTGAAGTGTAGTGCTTTTTTTTTTTTTTTTGCTGGGATCCTGCAGAGCTCCACGCTACGCTGTAGTCTGTTGCGAGCTGTTCCCCAGATGATATTTCCAGTCTGAGAAGAGGGCCACCGCACTTCTGGAAGGAAACTTAATCCCACGTCCTGCTTCTAGTGAAGGTGGCTGGAGCAGAGGAGCTGCTGTCACCTAGGTAGTATTGATAGTAAACTGGCTACAAAATTTTCTCTTTGAGAAGGCTGCTTGAAAGCTTGCACGTGTCCTGTCTGGCAATGAGGGGAGCAGGTAAATAGGTGCAGAATTCAGATCTGATTGAGGCAAATGTCTCCAGGCTGTCTTTCCGGCTCCTGTTGTCAGGTACTGAGAGCCTGGATTTCCCCCTGACCCTCATGATTGGACCGGTGTTAGGGCTGGGCCACAAGCGCTGACATGGAACGTAGGAAAGCAATGGTACGTGTAAGTAGGCAGGGGACCCTTTTACAGCAGATCCCTTCGCTGACTGTGTTGTTTTAGAGGCAGCGGCTGTTGTACCCCTGCCTCGGTGGAGCTGAGTGAAAAGATTTCTTTGGACACGTGTTGTCAGAACAAAGCAATTTGTAGTCAGTCACCTTGCAGGTAAAAACAGGCTTTGTCAGGAACGAATTGTATCAAATGAACTGTCCTTCCTGTACCGGGGTTGAGAGAGATGCCCTGGGTCTTGACCGTAGCAGGGCTTTAGAAACAGTGTCCCGTGACCGTCGTTGATCAGAAAGCAGGTCAGTGTGAAGCCACTATCAGATGTGGGGCTAAGCAGTTGGCTGCTCCCCCA